GAAATAAGAAATCAGATTAGAAAGAAGAAGAAACATAAGGAGACAGCAAGAAGAGAAGAAGAGGAAGGGAACGATTGAGAAGAAAGGGTGAAAGAGAAGAGTTGTTCATTCATCTCCTCCTTTCCCTAATCCTTTTCATTAAAGAATAATCACTAATAATCGGAAATTACAAGTAAATCCTTAGTAATTACAAGTAAGTCCTTAGTGGGGTGGCTAGCTAATTAAACATAAGAGAAACTAAGGTTAACAGGCCCATTAACAAAACAGGACATAAACATAAAATTAAAACACAACTGTGGGCTACGGGCCATTCGGCCCATCTTCTCTACAGTTAGGATCCAATTGTATTCTGTGTAACCAACTTTGTTTCTTCTCTCAAAATCTCACCAAGAGTAGTATCCAGATCTGGAAAGGTCTCTCTGGTATAGAAGAGTAATAACAGTGCTGATTCTCAAGAAATATATTAGAAGTCGAAACAAGAATTATGAGAAGCAATTACCTTTCACTCTGATGTCCAAAAAAAGGAAACTATCACAGTAGATCGAATCTAGAGATGAATGAAACCCCTCTTAAACCAGTCTGAATCCAACCATACTGAAGAAGATCACAAGGCTCCTCTGGGTGACACCAGATCTGAAGTTTCAAGAGGATCCGACGACTCTAAGTGCAGATTGAAGGGAAAGAAGTAGATCTGATGGCACAGACTCCCAGATTTCAGATCAATCAAGGGCTGATCGAGATAGCCTTAAAAAAAGGTATTCTAGGGCACCAAAGGACTCCCATATACTGCTAGGAGAATCTCTAGATGCCAAAGTAAGCAAGGAACAGAAAGATAGACACAGCAGATCAGATCGTGACCTGCTCTGATACCATGTCAGAGGCTGATCTGTGTCTGTAAAGTCAGAGAAAGAAAGAGACAGCAGCAGATTTGTGGGTGTGTCCAATGAGCAGATTGACACCCTAAGAAAAGATGTATATATTAATCTGTAAAAGGACCAAAATGTCCTTAGTGTACAAAAGAAAATAAAGTATAACAAGAAGTAAAATTACAGAAATAGCCTCCTTGGCTAACTCTCTTTGTCTCTACAGTAGTGAGGGCAACCCGGTGCCCTCAGGTGTGGGAGGAGCCTTTAGAGATGAAGAGGGTAAAGTAATTGCAATGTATTCTAGTCCTATTTGGGTTGCTGATTCTTTTAGAGCCGAGGTCATGGCAGTGTAGTAAGGGGTAAAGAAGGTAAAGGAGTTGAATATTCAAATGCTAATTGTAAAAGGAGATTCAAAACTGATGATAGGGATGGCTGCAAAGGAGAATAGTAAACTCTGGAAATTTGCTAATGAAAAAAGAGAGTTTGACTGGGTAACTAAGGGAATAGAGATTCAGTTTCATTGGGTGAAGAGATCTGCAAATTCTGCAAATTCCTTTGCAGATACTCTGGCTAAACAAGGGGTGGGAAAGGAACATTTGCTTTTGGCAGTGCTGTAACTGTTTTTTCGTCTTTATTGGGAAGGGTTAAGAGTTTTTATCTTTCCCCTTTGTTTCCTTTGTAAGCTATATTTATTTTTCTAATAAAATTTTCTGTTATTGATAAAAAATGAGTATATTTGTGTGTGTATCATAGATTACATTACTACATTAGCATGTATTCCACAATTTATCAACATTTCCCCCAAGTAATGATAGCCATTCAATATTGCCATGTGCAAAGATTCCTTGGTCATCTAGGTGGTATTTGGTTCATCAGTAAGTATATGGTAATTTACTTATCAAGAGTAACTCTATCACATAAGTTACTTATTGTCAGTCATAATTAAGTTTTTTTTTTTTTTTTTTTTTTACTTAGCCTAATTTACTTAAACTTACTTGTCAAAAGCTGTTTTTTTTTTGAAGAAGGTAAAGTTTACTAAAACTTATCAAAGCTGTTTACTTAACTTACTTATCATAATTAATTTTTTTTACTTGGCCTAATTTACTTAAAATTATCAAGGCTTTTTATATATTGAAACCAAACTTTTTTTTTTTCACTTTTTCTACTGATGGCCAGTTGATATCAGTTAAAAAGTTATTTATTTGTATCAAACTAAAGACACCCTTAGAGTTCTCTAAACGACATGCGTAGTAAATCTGGTAACAAGCTTTATCTGCATTGGATTTGAATTTTGTCTACTGCTTTACTATTCTAATGTCCATGAACTTTTCAAACACCCATTACAGGCAGAAAGCATGAAAGAACTTGGCTCTTCTATCAGCATACCTGAAGATTCAAGTCTAGAAATTGGAAAATACCAAACTGCTGATCAAGTGGCTCTGAAGGATAACCCTTCTCTGGTACCATCAGAAACTGGAGTGCGTATGCCCAAAAACTTGAGAAAAGTTCGTGCTAGAAAGAATCCAAAGTCTATAATTTCCTTATTGAAGAAAAAGAAACACAAGAAAGCGACAAATGCATTGCTCACCAACAAAAATGAGGTATGGACTGACTTATATTTTATCTTTGGTTAGCAAATGAAAAAGAAATTTACTTAAAGGAGTGGAAATAACATAGAAAGGTTGAGAACTTAGAAATGAACAAGTCTTACATGTCAAGACCTTACATCAGACATATAGAGGGTGTAATCAATAATTTACTTACATCAACGAGATATAACATAGGCCATACCTCAGCACTGAAAAAGGACCAAGGTGCATCTTCAATTTCTAGGTGAACTGGCAGCCAGTCCATGATGAGTCACAATTCTTCTATTATCTCTCTCTTCAAAGATCTTTTTATTTCTTTCTTTTCCACAAACATGAACAGATCGCAAACAGTGTAGAACCCTGAAACAATTGTATCTCTTTACCTCCCAGAAAAAAGATGGCTAATGTGAGAATATTTCATTTTAGATTAGGACCAGGCCTTGATCTCAAAATCCAAAGAAAAAATCCTACATGAACGCTGCAATTCTGCCTAAGATAAAAAAAAAATGAACTGTTTCTTAATTATTATTGCACATACATCATCAAATATTTTAATGAAAACCCCTATTTTTCAAATGGTCCATGGTTAAAATGTCAGAAGATAACAGTCAAGAAAATTTTAAACTTGCAAAAGTATCGATGAACAATTCACCATGTAGAGTGGGAGAAATTTCAGAGATATTTAGCTAATTCTGCTAAGGTATTTGGAAATCTAAAAAATCAGGAAAGTTTTCTAGAAACATGGGATTAGTTAATAAACCTTCAAAAGATCATTATAAGAAATACAATTGCACATTTAAGGCTCAAAACCATAGCAAAGAACTCTATAAATCAATTAGGAAAAATTAAGAGACTGTAATAGGTATGTTTCTCTGTTTTCCTTTTGGTGTTTAGCCATCTTCTCTTCTTTATTTATGTCTATTATTTGCCATTTTAACTTTTCTCTTTATTGTTACTATATGTTTTGATTATATTGAGAATACAGTTTTATGGTTATATGCATTTTTCTTTTTCTTTTGAATTATAATGCCTTAGTAAGTGAATCATATCAAAATACTAGGCCAATTATCCAATCACAAATGTGATGGGACTCTCTGCAAGCAAAAGCTCTGTACAGACCGTGAAACCATGGGAATCCCACTGCACATTGGGAACATCTCCTCATGAATTTAAAGTAAGTGTATGGGATATTTCCCAATGTGTGGCAGGATGCTATGTGAGCAAAATTTTTGCTTGCAAGAGATCCAGGTTCATCACCAATTCCCTGTTGGTTCTTTTAGGAAAATATTTTTAAAAATTATGGTTATTTTAATGAAATATTGAAAAAAATTAATAATATTCTAAAATTTTAAATTTTAAATATATAGTTAATCAATGAAATCTGGGGAGTACTGTATCAGAAATCTGGGGCATCAGGTATAGGGGGGTATTGTCAGAAATCATGAAGGCAATATTAATGCTTAGCTTCTTAGGCCCAGTGGGACAATGGAAGTCTTTGAGAGCAGAGTTGAAGGTTCTAAATATAAGGATTAAAATTACTGCATCATCAGGGGTTAAGGGATGTAATAGCGGAGGGAGACTGTGAAGTGGTTATTTGTTGGAATGAAAGGACAAGAACAAATACCTCGGGAATTTAGGACTTCGGTAAGGATGGTGGTCTCACTAGGGTCCTCCTTGAATGCCTTGTTCAAATGGATCCCTACTTCCCTAGAAGTGCAAAATATGTTAGTAGATTCTTTAGCAAGAGATAGAGTGGGGAGGGATTCTCTGCTTTTGGGTTGCCTTGGACTGGGTACGGAATCAGGGTAAAGACGCATCATCCATTTAGAAGAGTCCATGCAACACTGTGGTCAACTGGCTTCATCCTCCCATATGCTGCTACTTCCTATTTGTTCTCTCTCATGTAGGGCGGATGTTACAACATGTTTAGTGTCTTCCAATAGAGAAAAGACCAAGGTTTTCATTGATTTTCATCTCTTTCTAATCCTCGTTCAACATAAAATCTGTTCACTTACAGAGGGCATCCACTTAATAGTAAACTAGTATATGTGGATTTATTTCATTTTTTTTGTCCATATGTTTGTTGGAAGATGGAAATGAGGTTGGGAATCAGGGAAGATTCCTGTTGAACATGATATTGTGTAAACCAATTTAGGGCTTGAAGCATGCTGCAGAAACTTCAAGAAGCTCTTGTTTAAAACCAGTTCTGTCAGCACAGTAGAATTTGCATAAGAAATTAGATGGTCGTTGACGGGTAGAATAGCATTGAAGTTCAATCATAGATTTCCAGCATGTTGCTATTGTTCATATCTCGATGAACTTTTGTTTCAGGTGAGAAAAGGTTTCAATAGTCTTGTCAATTTGAAGAAGCAAATGAGCAATTTAAAAAGAAAAGCACCTTCAGAAAAGAGGGTTAACCTTAAATCCAAAAGGGGAAGTTCAAATGTTGATGAAATGAAGAAAAAGGAGAAACTGTACATGGCTGAGATGGAGAGGTTGTGTCATCTCGAGGATAGAATTGAGAAGCTGAAGAAAGTATTATTGAGAATACAGAATGGAAAAAATCTTATACGGGATAAAACCCATTCATGCGAACAAGTTGTAATCTATGTTCCAGTTGCAGAGATAAGAGAGAAACAATGTCATGTATAAACTGTTGATCATCGAACACCAGTATTACAATACTGTAGATCATTAAAAACGAAAAATAGAAAATCTTTTTATAGTATTTAATTTAGCAGTACAAAACAAGTATGCAAATCACAACAGTACCCGGTTCAAACTTCAAAGCATATAAAGAGCACATGGTGCAACTTACAGCACCATATATAATCAAAATAAATGAATTTTAGTAATTTCAAACACAAGATTTTTTATTTTGTTTCGGTGGTTTTGTCTGAAACTGATCTTATTTCACGACACTTAAAAACATTGGTGGCATACTGGCATGTGCATTATCAAAATAATTGAAACAAGTGTATTTTAGTTTTTAAACTAAAAGATAAAAATTTAAACTAATTTGTTCACTGAAATAATTGCTTTAATATGTCACTCGTAAAACATTTTTTCTGCAAAATAAAATAGCTACTATCTTTCATAAACGGAGGAGTAGATGAGAGTTGGCAGTGGGATCATATGTTATATAAGCTTGTGATTTACAGGCAAAAAAGTGAAAAGATGAGTTCAAAGTTCAAAATGTCGTTACGTATTGGCATGTATCGGAAGATATGTATCGCATCGGACTCCTATAGGGATTGTATTGGGTTAGGTCATGGTTCAGAGAGTAATCGGGATTTAAACCAATTCCTCTGAATCGATTTTGAAAAAAAAAATAAATAAATAAGACAAAAAAAAACACCGATACAGGCTGATACACCCTACCACAAAAAAAAAACACCGATACAGGCTGATACACCCTACCTGCATATCGGTCTGTATCGATATTTAGAACCTGACATGAGCTAACTGATTTTTCTGTGCATCTGTGACCATGTAAAGAGTTTAATAGTGTCTGTGAAATGTACTAGAACATGAATTAACCTAACCAACGAGGGAATGGCCAGCTGGCCAGGTCCGTTGCAAGCCAAAGACAACCCAATCAGCCAATTCCAATTGAATTGCTCTTCTGGGCCCCGTTCATTTGCCTGTATTTAGCGGGGGGTTAAGGTGGCCAAGCGAACAATTGATCACTATCTATGCGTTCGTATGCCACTAGGGTCTGCAGTAAGCCAAGATACCGAAGAGTATCAGCTACCCTAGGTACTTGATGCACTCCTGAAATTTGGGTAAGTAATTTTCGCATGCCAATAATGTGCTTTCCCTCTCATCTCTCTTTACCTGGATAATGTGTATTGTACAAAAATGCTGGAATCTCACTTATCCGGGCAAGTGAAACATGAAAAACACTTGCCTGGGTAATGTGCTTGCCTAGGTAAGTGAAAATGAACAGGGCCTTGGAGTATGAGACTCGTGTGATGCATAGGGGTGCAACTTGGGTGGGTTTAACCTGAGCCCAAACTGTCCCAGCCCAAAATTTTATCGGGGTACAACTTGGGCAAATTTCGATTTTTCGGTCCTTAGGCTGGGCTCGGACTTAAGAATTTGGGCTTTTTAATTATTTTGGTTGGGTTTGGGCTTAGCCCTTAAATAGCCTGAATCTGATCCAAGCCCGGTCCAACTATACACATTCATACATACATATGTATACATGTAATTATATATATATATATATATGAATAAATGCATACATACATAGACAGTATACTTTTAGATCAGGTTCATTGACTAACCTGAGCCCAGCCCGGGCCTGAGCCCAATCCAAATGCATCAAATTACAATGCAAATTGGGCTTGGGTTGAAAAAATCAGATTTGAACTAAGGCTCGGTCCAGGCTTTTAGGGTTAGGCCTAGGTTGATCATAAATCCACCCAATCCACCCAACCTGCACCCCTAGCGTTGCATGGGCACTCTATGTTTTTATAGTGGAATGTTTACATTCAGTGTCCTAAAAAGGAAATTCAATTGGTTGTTGACTTGTAGGTAATTTTAAACTAGGATCTGCTGAAAGCAAAAAGTATACGAACAGGCTGAGAGAACAGCATCCACCTGCACATTACGAACATGCACACTTCTTGCTTTCAGAAAATCTGGGGTCAGCCTAAATAGCCCTATATTTGATTTTTTTTTTAATATTAAAAAAAAAAACACATTGGGAACCAATATCAAGAGCTCAGATCTCCTCCAAGTAAATACTCTGCTCACATAACATCTGGCGAACATTAGAAATATCTTTACAAGTATTAAATTCATGGGGAGATGTTCCCGAAATACAGCTGGATTCCCATACTTTCAGAGTGTGTAGAGATTTTGCTTGCAAAGAATTCCATCACCAATATGAAGGGAAAAGAAAATAAACTGACATGAACAATTGTGATAAAAAATTCAATTGGATTGGGATTGGCTAAATTGGGTTGTCCTTGGCTTGTAATGAACCTGGCCTATAGCCACATACACACACAATTTACCCCCAAGAGCCAGTTAGCACCAAAGTACATTAAAGGGTGTTGACCGGGGTGATCATGGACCGGGCCAGGCTTAATACCTGTGTCAAGGGCCTTAGACTGATCCCGGGCCCAGATTAGCCCATACATTGATCCTAAAATACAAGCTTGGGCCCGGGGCTAGACAGGCCTAAATCTACTCTTCTAAGGGTTTATGCCTTCACGATGCTTGTGCATCTCCCGCCCCAACACCCTGTATCCATGGAATCTCATATTTTCTGTTGCTGCAGTATCACCAATTTGGAGTCGCCTTCTAAATCATATTTTCTTATTGTGCTAGAGGAATTGTCTCCTAGCTTTTGATCCTTTTTCTTTTCTTTTGATCCATGGGGTTGCACAACAGGGGTAGCCTTGGCGAAGTTAATTTACATTCTTTGGGTTCTCTGATTTATTGGGTATCATGAGAGACACCGCATATGTTTTTCTTCCCATGTTGTCCAATATTATGGTGCATTTCACCAAAAAAAAAAAAAAAAATCAAACCAGGGTTTGAATTATCAACATAACCAACATGGGTCATACCGTATTTGGAAGCTGATACCTATACTATGGTATTAAATGCCATATTTTTTTCCTAGATTTTTTTATACCTATGGCTCCATTTGGAAGTAGTACAAATACAAATATGTAGAGTGCAAAATCTTGTATTTTATATGATTTTTTATGTATCCATACTGTTCATATTTGCATTTGTACTCTTTCCAAACTGAGCCTACTCTGTAAAAGTAAAACTTTATCCTGTCAAAACCTCGCCATAAAATTGGACTTAAGTATTCACTTTTAACCAAATTAGAATCGTTTTTAAAGTATTGACAAGTTTATAATAGCATTAATTCTTCCATTTCACACTTCACCTAAACCATTAAAATATGCATTTCATGGAGAAACTTTGAAGAATCTTACAAGTATGCATCAAATGGAATTTAAAAAGTAGTGTTATGTGAAATTTCTGCCATCAACCCTGTTCCATAGTGTTAAGGAAAGAACATGAATGCATTTATAACTGATATTTTGCAATGTGGGTAACCATGTTTTTTATTCAATCATTCCTGAAATGAATTCCGCTCCAGGCAAGGTTTGGCACCGATTTTGTTCTGTAGAATCGGTATTTGAAGGTGAATTTTGAGGAAAAATTGGGTATACTATAAAGGCTGAGCTTCATACCATAAGTTGACCTTTCAAGATGAATCTGGCTTGAGTCGAATTAAGTGGTCTCCATTGGCCTTTAATTTCAGACTTCCAGCAGAGGCACATACAATAATAAATTGGATATTATGGTCATGATTCAAAGACTTCTCATTCGGTTGACAATTGCTTATATTCCATGAGTAAATTTATCGAATTGAAATGGGTGAGAAGGCCTATATAATGTAATACAGATAACCACAAACTGCCCTGCATTTAGATTCAGATAATCGAGATCCACTCAATGGGTAACAAAATTAACTAGAATAAGGCCATTAGCCATGTTGGTCTCAGCTATCTGAGTTCTTGGAAGGGGTTATAAAATTAACTAGATCCTGACCAAAAAGAAAACTAGATCAAAGGTAGACTTGAAATGATCAGTCTACCATGTTTCATTTGAATGCATTTGAATTGAACTAGGGTGTTAAACATGGCTGTAAAAATAATACAATCTATTAATCATATGGTGAATCCTGAACCTTTTTTAACTTAGCAGGTGATTTGGACAGTAGTTACGACTTACGAGGGTCTTGGAGCCCATTGGCTCCAACTGATAAATTTGTAGGGCATCGGCAATTTAAATGCCCTTACATATCACAACTTTGATTTGATGATTCTCCACAATCGCCTGCCAACAATAGATTCAACCCATGGTTTTTAAAAACAACCTGGAGATCGAACCAGTCAGGGGTCCAGTTACCGGGTCGAACGGTCAGCCCATTCTGACAAAAAATTAAAAAATAAAAAACAATCAAAACCATTCGAGCAGTTAACCGCCCAGGTCAGCGGTTTGCTGACCAAAATCAATGGTTTTGGGCAAAGTTTCGGTTTTGGAGAAAACCGAAACCGGTCACCTGACTGGTTCCTGGTTTTTTCCGGTCCGACCGTCCGGTCCGGTCTGGTTTTGAAAACCATGATTCAACCATAAAACCTTGGACCTTAAGCATTCACCGGTCCCAATCAAGAACCCACTCATCAAAGGTAACCTCTTGATTCGTTTTTGAAGGAAAAAAAAAATAGACAAGCTTTTGGGGAACAGTTATATTATGGTTTAAATGAAGATTATAAAGGCCCATAAAGCATCTTCTACACGTCAATGAAGTACTAAAATATGGATTGGTAAATGGTAGTTTAAGTACTCAATTGGTTCGCGGTGATATTGGCCGCATTTACATTTTTCATAGCAATTTACAACTTATTTGGCACAATAGTTTCTCTTATTAGCACATCGAAAGAACTCCAGACATGAGAGGAAGAAAAACTACGCAAGTGACTCGTGACCCGGAAGTTTACCAGAGTCAGTAGACAAACAAATTAATTGATTACGTGATATTCTGTGTGTGCATGGAGAAACAAGGCATGAGTAGAACTCTGGGTGGAGTGCAAGGGCACTGATTGTTAATTCTTGCACAGTTTCTACTTTGCTAAATAGAAATTACCTTTTCCAGTCAAAAGCACACTCAATAATGCACAAAGCAAATGGAGAGCCAGAGAGAACAAGAATTGAAGGATGTACCTGATCATTCATTCTCCCTCTCTCTAGCCCATTGCACCAAGACAAGAGGTCTAAGGATTCTATTGAATAAACAAATAAATAAAATGCTAAAGTAACATATCTGCAACAAATATTATGGAGGTAATGCAATACAAAAAAGCCAGTTAACAAATAAAATAAGTAAAAGAAACAGAAATGAATCACTCAATGATTACAATTGCACTGTACTTGATGCTACAACAAACTCAATTGGGATGGTAATACAAAAATTTGACTGCTTGTACCAGTGTTTTCTAATACATTTGGGGGGAAATTTTCAACTCAGTTATATGTATGCCGTTTTAATGCATGTGAGTAGAATATACAAGAATCATGACCAAGCAAGATTTATGGTTACTTACACGAAATTTCAAGGTTACCATCAAGTGTAGTATAGATACTTCATGTCCTCTCTACTTGTTCTGAACTATCACTCTTGGTGCGATTCAATTTCTTTCTTTTAGCAGTTAGCCGAGGCCGCAACTACAAAGCATGAAAGGGAAAGGATGAGCTTAAAAATTCAAAGAGCTCTGGGGAAATACATAAATTTCATATAACCATTAAAGTCATTTGCCAAAAATAGCAAGAAGTGAAAACATATTGGTGTTAGTAATTCTGATGCTAATTCTTAGTCCCTTCAAACTATAATGTTAAAAAATTAAAACATCATAGAGGCAACCAAAACATGTAGTGTACAAGAATCAGATATAGAAAACCTCCAAAAAGAAACAAGAAAAAAGTTCCAAAGCACAGAGGATTTATAAAAAATTAGCCTCAACACCCCCACCCCAATAACAATATTCTCCCAATTCCACTCTGTTCAAATCTTTTAGTTTGATACCAGTCCTGCAATATAGAAAAGAGGAAAAAAGAGAGAAAAGAGATTAGAGTCAAAAAAAGAAAAAAAATTAGAGCAGTGGTACCCACTCCTTATTTTATAAGAGAGAGCATATAAGTAATGTAGAAAGATTACAATGCCCCTACTGTTGCATATAGATATATATTACAACTCCCCCAAAGATGGATCATTGTGATATTGGATAGTAACCCCTTTCGCAAAGGTATCAAAATAGCTGGTCTATAATATTACCATAAGGAACAGATATTACTCCTGTCTCTAGCTTTGCTCTAATAAAGTGCTTTGTCCACCTCAATGTGTTTAGTCCTGTCATATAATGGACATCTATAGACTGATCACTAGAAATGGCACCTTCAATCCCAAGGAAGGAAATACTTAAGTGGACCTAGATCTTTAACTTCAAATTAAGAAACAAGAAACACATTAAAGTACTGTATTTTAGACTCCTAGTTTCATGATAATTTTCATGATGACCTAGATTAGACAACCAGTCAGCAGCTTGATTTCCCTCACCAAGAATGAGTGTACTTGAGAGTAGTTACGAAGAAGAGCTCTCCTCAATAGTGAAATGGAGGAGTAGTAGATATAGAAGCTAAGAAGTTCTGTTTTGAAGTATGGAAGGTGGATGTTAAAAATCAGATGAAAAGAGAGCCACCGTTTTAGTAGTTGAAGAGGTGACTTGATGGTTGAAGGGTTTTATGGATGGAACAGTATTCTCCATTAAAAAACAAGGATGGAAAAGTACAATGGGAGTAGCTGATAAAAAATTTGAAGCGGAAATGAAGAGGAATGTGAAGGGTTGGTTTGTGGCAATTGTGGAAACGTTTGATGATAACAGAACTACAGAAGACAGTTGTGTGTACTGGAAGGAAGAAAGAGAACAGGGTGGTGCTTGTTTGCAGACTTATTACAGGAATTCCTGTTCATTCTGGAAGAAAGACAAACTCCAAAAATCTGCAGTGGTCTCTGATGGGCAAAGTTACAGAGAGGAAAAATAAAAAAAAAGGATACCCACAAGCTATCGTCTGTAACACTACCAAAAGCCAGAGGATGTTCTTGGAACTGGAGAAAGGAGCCTGGGAGAAGACTGGGTGTTGATCTGTGCCAAAGGAGCAAGCTTGATGAAAAGGAAGAGAACTTGATAAAGCGAGCCAATAGATGTAAATCAGTCATTTAATATCAAGATTAAACTTAGTGATTAGCATAATAAAACAGGTCTGAATAACTGTACAAGAGAAGAAGATGGCGAAGAGAAGAGGTAAGAGAAGGAGTCGAATAATTCTCCATTCTCCTCTAACCCTATTTTATTAAGATCTAAAAATTTGATGATGACAAGAATGCCCTTAAGTGGGCGGCCAGCTTGGCAGTTACATAAAGAAAAATAAAACAAGAATAAATAACAGGCCCATTAAGTGTGGCCCATCAACATAAAATAAAAGATATTACAAGAGAGGATGTTAGGGCCCATTCGGCCCAGTCTCTTTACACTCCCCCTCAAGCTGAGCATAGATGTCAATCATGCCTAGCTTGCTTATATAGTGTGTCAATTTCCCCCTTTGGAACTCCCTTGGTCAAGATATCAGCCAGTTGCTCTTCTGATGTGATRAATGGTAAWYAAACTTCTCCTGAAGAGACTCTTTCCCTTATGAAATGCCTATCAACCTCAATGTGCTTAGTTTTTTCATGCTGAACAGGATTATGTGCAATGTTGATAGTAGCTTGGTTGTCACAATAGAGCATCATTGGTTTCTTGTAGTCCACCCCCAATTCCTCTAGAAGGGATCATAGCCATAGTAATTCTGACACACCATGAGCCATTGTCCTGTATTCTGCTTCAGCTGAGGATCTAGCAACTACTGATTGTTTCTTACTCCTCCAAGACACAATATTCCCAGCAACTAGACCACAATAACCAGAGGTGGACCTTCTGTCATCAATACATCATGCCCAATCTACACCAGTAAAGGCTTCCAGCTTCATGTGACCATGCTTATCAAATAGAATACCTTTCCTTGGAGTACCTTTCAAGTAGCACAAAACCCTTTCTGCAACAGCTAGATGAGTATCTCTGGGAGAATGCATAAACTGACTAATAACACTTACTGCATAGGAAATATCTAGCCGAGTCATGCAAAAGTATAACAACTTCCCGAGCAGTCTCTGAAACACTCCCTTATTAGACAAAGGTTCACCATCTGTGGCAAAAAGCTTATGATTAGGATCAATGAGAGTGGAGATAGGTTTACCTCCAAGTTTACCAGTTTCAACAAGAAGATCAAGGACATATTTGCACTGAGATATGAAGATACCATCCTTAGACCGAGCAACTTCAATGCCCAAGAAATATTGAAGATCTCCCAAGTCTTTGATTTCAAACTCAGAGTTGAGAAGTCCTTTTAGTTTACTGGCCTCTTCAATGTCATTACCCGTGACCACAATGTCATCAACATAAACAATCAAGAAGGTCACCAGAGAGTCATTTCTCTTCAAGAACAGTGTATGATCAGATTGTGTTTGAATGTAGCCAAAGGAGACAAGAGCAGCCCGAAATCTCTCAAAC